ACACAAATATAATTTCTTCCATTTTTTCTTTGATTTATTTAAATAATACGTTAATTATATTACTAGCTTATGTCAGGATTTAAATGATTTTTACAAATTTTGTTTTCTAATAAATTGCGTTAGAAGGACCACGGTTCGGATACCTAAGGTTCGTATTCAGAAGCAACAAGTCTGGCCAACTTTCACTCGATATCTCCTTTAACCTTAATTACCCCCTACCAATTGGACTTGAAAAAGTGCATTTAGCTTATAATGTCTTGGCTCTAGAAGGATGCTAGTCTTTTCAAGAGGGGTCCGAAGTTCCTCTCCGAGTGAAATGGAGGTTTCGATGGCCTTCTCCAGGATTATATCAGTCCGGGGTCTCTGCGTTCCCATAACTAGCACGTGCACGTGGAGGAGAGAGGTGGGAGGAAGTGAGGTAAGATGAGCGACGGTGGAGGGGGATAGGTCTGATGAGGGGAAAATGGCTTCTTGGTGCTGCGCAACGCTTCGCGGAGCGCCTAGCCCGCGTGGCCTTGGGCAGCCGTGTCCTGCCGCGAAAGATCTCGTGGCACGACGGGCGCCCGTTCGACCCGGGACCTCCGAGAACTCAACGGACGACTTTTTCTTGGGCTGGACTCTCTCGCAGCCACAGCCTACTCTCACTCGACTGCGCGTGGCGTGCCAACGGCGGCCGGCTCACTCCCTTCCACGCTGACACACGACTCGCGAGGATTCGACGCTAGGGCACAGGAGGCGGTGGCATGCAGCAACGGTAGACTGGGCGGAGGATGCGGCGAGGTTCTCCGGAAGCTGCACAATCACTGATAAGGGCTAGCTGTGCAAGTCAAAGACAGCATGAAACACGTACGAACTCTCCCTTCCCTTAGTCTCCTAATGCACGAGCTTACAAAATACAGATTCACAAATTAATTTTATTAACCCTCTATAAGGCGAGACGAAATATCTTCCATAATGTTGTATACTATTTATTTTTACGTTATCCTCCAATAAATTGACCTTTCATTAGGCATTTGCATAGTTCAACAATAATATCTATGACATTTCGATATTTTCTATTTCCAAAAAGTATGCCAAGAATTCAATTTACTCAACATTCAAGAAAATCTCCTTAAATTCTTATATTATTCGCTTAAAATAAGTTTCAAAAGAATGCCAATTTCTTGAGAGATTTTGAGAATTCTCTTAACAATAACGTTTTCAAATGCTTTGAGGAATTACGCCGACTCTCAGACTATGATCTAGGAGGTAACAAGGTTATTATCACTTGCTAGTTGTTTATATTTGTTTTGGACAGAAAATTTCATAATTTGGGATTTGTGTTAAATATTTCTGAGAGTGCACATGTAACTGTTCACATACGTTCTTGTGAAACGGTTCACATCTACGAAACACATTTGAAGTGAAGAAACATCTCAGGAAAATAAAGTAGATGCTTCAGAAACAATCTTCATATATTTTCTCCCTTATTCGTCTAACTGAAATTACACGCAAAGTGATAATGATTTTTTTTATTTTATTAGGAATAGGAAGAATTTTTCATTTCTACATCAATTTTAATTTCCACAAACGGGGTAAATTTATGCAGATAATGGACGAATTATTTTTAACTTTCAAGTCAAATATTTTTTGAGGGCACTTCGTAAAGAAAACGTATTGACCACACGTTCTTAAAATTCCTGAATACATTAATGTATTTTTTTCGTAGGCTTTTGTACCGTAGAAGCTGAGAGTACGACGATGAGATAATGTTTGCTACTACCTATAGTTTATTTTGACTAGACTGTAAAGAGCTTTATATGGTGCCTTTTTCTCATTATGAATTTATTAGTGCCATTTTTCTCATTTCAACCCATTTTGAAAAGAAAGTGTTTGAGATGATTTAAAGATAATACTTACTTTAGCATGGAGTTTTCGTAAATACAGTGAAATGCGACAGTTACAAACTATACTTTAATAGCCAATCTCAAACGGTTTTATCTCACTTTTTTTTTACCGTTGAACAAATGTTCGGACGAACTCTTACTAAAATTCTGGGATGAGCTTCCCCCTCCCCCTCACCAAACGTCACAGAGTTTTACTGTTTTTCAGAGTTTTAATAATTAAATAAATCTCAGCTTTCTTCTCCTTGCACCAATGTTCAAATAAAATATGCTTTTTATAGGCTCCCAGCAAACAACTTCAATGTGGGATTAATTACCCATTGTTCATCCTTCGACTCAATCAGATGCTTCGTATACTTAAGACAATAGCACAGTTTAATTTCGATGCAGGAAAATCAATCGAGCAATCGAGATGAACTGAAGTTTTATGAATAGATCTCCGCGATGTGTGGAAAAGTAATAGAGAGTGGAGAGGATGGTGGTTGCTAAGTGTGTGAGTTGAGGGAATGCTTGTGTTTGTTCATACGTGTCATTGTTTTTTTCGGGCATAAGCGAAGCTGTGATGGTTACCACCAACTCGTCAGTGACTGATGGCGCACCGTGTTTGATCCGAACGTTTTAAAATCCAAAGCTAAGAACAACTATAAGAACCATACAACACCTATAAGAACAAATTATTGTATAAAACATTATCGCATGTCCGAAACGCAACATATCTTCAAACAGAAGAAAGTATGTTTGGAGAAAGTAAACCTACAAAATAAATATCAAACAAAATAAATGACTTGGTAATTGTTGTGAATAATTTGTTTGAATGATATACTTTAGTACGTACATAATATAGGAACGCTTATGCACTATGAGACAAGAATTGATTGGTGCAAAAGAGATTAGTTTAATGATTATGTTCATTTCAAAGTTCGTTCATTAATAACCATTACGAACTAATTAGTCAAACGTTATGTATAATACACGCGAAATCCTGAATGCAATAAGCATTCTTAATATCGTTGTGCGAAATAATCAAGGTTGCGTGAAATATTCTATTTTATGTTGATGAGAATTTACTTAGGTCCTTCGTGGTTTGTACTTAGGTTCTTCGAAGAAGGGTCGCCAGATCATTGGATTCCGAATCTTCTTTATACAAAAATTGCCGTCGCCAGTCATCATGAGTACTTTTTAAGTGAATCATCTTGAAAGAATGCAATAATACCAGAAAAATATAGATTAGAATGATGGGCCGTATCAATAAATAAGCAGATAAAATAAATTAATTAAACGAATAAATTAAATAAATAAAAGTATATAAGTAAATCCCTTTGTTTAATGAAGTATCTCTATACAGAATTAAAAATTAGAAAAAACTTTTATAATGTTGGTTACAATTTAATGTAAGGAACTAGTCTTTAATATTATTTCTATACTATAATGTTTGCCTTTCTTTTTCTAGATCACTGAGAAGGACCATGAAATTGTTCGTGTTCTTCTATGGATCATGTTTGTTTACATGGCCATTCTTGGATCTTAAGTATTTTTTTCCAAGAACAAAGGCCCTGCACCTTCAAAGGACAATTCGATTGTCTAGTGACAAAAAGATATATTTCTTTATACTACTATTGTTTAGTTACGTTATCTGTCAGACAGTGACCACACAACTCTCCATGTTTACAAATCCTGATTTCATAAGCTCAGTTCCCTTAAGTGATTTTGAAGTTATTCACTTAGAGGATCTTTATGGAACTGCAAGTGAATGAAAATTGTCCATAAATTCAGTTTTATTTTTCAAAGATTCAACCATCTTAAAAGCATAGAGATTCAATAGAGAATTCAACGTTTTTTCGGGAAATCAATTTCCGAGTTATTAATTCGTATTGGTTGAGCAAGAAAAAATGCTGGCATGTCGCATTTGATAAGTGTGGTGTGGAGCACCGAGGTGTGGGTGGAACCGATAAGAAAATTTAGAGAAGAGATGGAGAGATCAATCGCGATCTATAAGAACATTCAGACTACATCACGTTTCACACCTCTTCCACGTGCCTTTATCTTTACAGAACGAACAAGGGGGGAAATTCTTCGAACGAGCCTGGAAATAGATAAATTTGCAACATTCAGTAGAAATACTATTTTTAGAACCCAAAGCAATTATGAGATATCAAAGATGACAAACCTATGTTACAGATCTGTTAATCGTTAAGGTGTTTAATTTATAGAGAATAAATTTCACTGATTAGAATTTGAAGAATGTCACTCCAAATAACGCTCTACCTAAAATACTCACTTTCTCTGTCTTATACTGAAATTTCTCTACCACAAATTCTTTTGCAAAGCTACGATCTGTATTCTGTAAGGAAGTAAGATGTGTACAATGCAGAGAGTGGATCAACTGCTTCCAAAATGCAAAGTCTCACGCAGTCAGTCCTTTGCATGTTCAAGGTCACATCATTGTGTACTTTAGGGAAATTAATATATCAGTTTTCGCAAAATGTTATCAGTATTTCACGACAGGTTAATGGGAGAACGCGAATCATTAAGATGACCGTGAATCAGGACGGAATACAGCTTCATTTTCGTAAATCTTCCAACTTCGTAATACTTTTTGTAAGAAGTTATTTTACAGTTGTGAGGGGAGTTTGGATCAACAAACAATCTTCGTTTTCTTGCAATATTGTATTATCTACCTACTTTTCACAAAGCTTACGAGTTTGTGGTTGATTAGAACTTTACTACACGACCAGAAAAGATGAAATGTAACACAAGAACAGAAACGTCAGAATTACACTGCAACCAATTAAACCGACCATTCAAGTAATTAAATGTATAAAATGCATATGAAATTAAATAAATCAAATATCGAGTAATACAAGTTTGCTACAATTCAACAACTATATTGTACGTTTTGTGGTGTGCCAATGTCACAGCGATCTTCGATCTAGTAATTCTAGAATGTGATTTACGTCGTACCACTGTCGCTTTCTTTAAATATTATTTACACCTTTACTTCGCGTTCCTAGTGAAAACGGGAAAATGTCACCCTCAGAGTTTGCACGGCTGTTTCTCAGTAGCGCGTCTCGATTTGTCACGCTGCACAGTCGCGCATAACCCGCACGTGAGACTCACCTTTCCTGAAGCCCAGGGACGCCGTGTAACCCAAGTTATCGAATCGAATATCGATAGACTTCTGAGGCGGCAAGCGCATCAGTACTTGATTGGGCGCCAACAAATCGGATGTCTCCGATGCATGGTTGTTATTGTTGACGGGCAGTGGTATGGCCGCGTCCGCAGTCGCGGTCGCGGACCCGCTTTGCGGTTTCTCCATCAGCCTTCAGCTGCGGCGGCGGCGACGGCGACGAAGGCGGAGGCGAAGGTGGCGGAGGTGGTGATGGCGGTGTGGCGGCGGCGGCGGCGGCGGTGATGCGCGCAGCGGGGCCGGCCGTCGGTCGCGGCCGAGGGTTCAGCGGAGTGTGGCGCAAACTTGCTGGAGTCGCTGGTTATACGCGCGCCCCACCGCGCCGGCCAAGCTCGTCGTGACCGCGCGGACTTTGAGTTGGAACGTAACAGATAGATTCTTTCGATGCTCCGGCACCAGGACTTTTTCCTTTCTCACGAAAGAAAAGATGGTTGACGTCATGGCGCCACCGGAGCGAGTCGGAGCACGTGCAGTTCGACCCCTGACCGCACCCGTCACCCTGGTCTCTTTTCGAAACACAAGAACTTCTCATCTTCGTTGGCAAAACTCATAAGAAAATGAATATTCTGATAAGCTCTTTTTCAGCTTTTCAGAGCTTTCAATACCAATTAAATCACAATCTTTCGTTTCAGAATTCAATACCCAACTAACAAACAAGTAATTAGTTTTCAAAACTTACGTTATTATTCTATGGTTCTGGCAAGTGTCGTATGCATTGGAACAGGTTTGTTGAATGTCGATTGTTGAATAGATATTATGAAAATGATTAAAGTAAGAGAGGACTATCTGATGAATCACTTACTGTATGGATCCCGATATCATCAGACAAAAACATAACTTTAATAGCACTCAATAAAAATGGAAATGGTCGGGGTCATTTAGTTCACAAACATAAATATATTCCAATAGGAAATTAACGACAAGGCCAGAGAATAACTCAACGCTTTGTCTGTAGGTTTTATGTGTGGCGGCTCGTGCTGCAGCGGTGAGACCGCTCCCCTTCAACCTCGGAGTGTCGGGGTTAAAAACCCCGGGTCAAATAATGTTACATGAAACCTACAGTGTAGTCTGGTTTGTTTTTATACAAAAATGCTTGAAATATTTGAATAAATTGGTGTTGTATTGTAATTTAAATCAAGGCTACTGTTAATTTCATTACAGAAAGTGCATGTTAATGATTTTCTGATTTGACAATGATCACTATTTCGAAAGCTAAAAGAGGAGGTCATGTCTTATTTCTTACAACATTTTTGTAACGTTTTATTCGTTATCTTTTCCCATTGCATGAAAATAAACGAAATAGTATAACAAACCTACCAACGAAAGATTTTGGAATAAGCAATTTCAGCTTGAACATAAGTATACGAAAGCAAGAGACATATTGTTGAAATTTTGACTAATCCCAGAAATGCAATAAAATGGACTTAAGAGAAGACTTTATTACATGTAAAGAAAATTGGTTTATCACTTACCGTACCTCACGTGATGGAATCGAAACATTACACCACGTCAAACCGCGTCCACACCAGCTACTTGCCCTCATGGGAAGCCCGAAGAAAGTGTCGAAATTTCCACAGAAAATGCGTTTCGTATGTCGCTCATTCGAAAAAAGGGGGTTGTTTCTTGCTCGTATTTAATTTCTATATATAGGGTTGTTAGAATACTTATGTATTAAGTGTTCTTCAACCCGCGAAAGTGATTTTCGAAAAACAATCTTTGTCAGTCCGTTTACGTATGAGTAATTCTTGAGTAAACAGTATTTTCACTCAAATGGATATTCATCGACTGATCTGGCTAATGTCACGAATCCTAACGACCTAATCGAATTGACCGAAACGGATCTTTTCATGTTGAGGGAACTTAACATTAAGTACCAACTTAACCAAAAATTGTCTCAAAAATAGCGCCAATTTTTGCTTTAAATATTTTCCTTGAATAGAGAAATAGACGTATAAAAATAGCACAGGTCCAATTTTTGGCAAACGATCAGAATTTTCGAAAATTTGAAAAAAATATGAACACTGCCAAAATACAATATTGATGATAGAGATTTTCTCCATCGTGAAATCAGTTTTTAACACTGGATCTTCAATTAACGTAATTGAAATTTAAATTTTTAAAAACTGGAAATGCAAATTTTCAACTTTTCTTTAGCGTCGGGATTGAAGAGAGTCTAGCGTGTAGCTGGTGGTGCAGAAGAAACGTGTCAGGCGTGTTTAGACTAAGGACGTGGGATCGAATCCCAGCACGAAGGAAACAATTTTTTCTAGAAAGATTTGTTTTGCCAATTCACGTACTATTGAATATTGCGTAGCCGTTACAAATAAGGCGTTAAAGTATATGGTATTAAAGCAGCACTAGTTTTCAACATAACACATTGTCTAAATAGCATGTATAGGAAGAGTAACTTTATTTAAAAGGGTAAATTGAAACCATTCACTTTGATTCTATAAAGTCAAATTTTACGAAACTGAGATCAGTATCATAATAAGAGTTATTACAATACATGTATTCATTATATTAGAATATTCGATTAGTTACTTGAGGCTTAAAAGACTCGTACGATAATTCTCCAATTTCATATTGTAATAAGTATGGGCGGATTTTGATGACGTAAAAATTCGCCAAAAAGATCAATAAAATGCTCGTAAAATGTTTTAAAAATGACCTAAAAACAAAGAGAAATAACGTATATGATCAAAACCAGTTCGGATGAACATCTTAAGCTGTTGGATTTGCTAGTGATGTAATTGAGGCTTCTTCCATTCGTTCAAGTGAACTCAGCTCGCAAACAATATGGTTTGGACTGTTATTTACTAGGAAATATCTTTCTTTAGTTATCCCGAAATTGACCGAAACGGCAATGGCGCTGACAGGGGTTACGGGACCCTTAGATTACATACAATGGCTCTACGAAAATGATCATTTTCTTTTGTCATAACAAAAAAATTAATGGCTATACTAAACGGCATTGTTCTAAAGTGAAAAGAAAAAAATGACATTTCATTAAAATCCGCCCCTAGTAAAAAGATATCTTACAATACGCATGTCGTAAATAACTATTTGAAAAGAAGTAATTTTAGTCTATGTGTATAGCAGGAATCATACGGTAATATTAAGACAAACAGAATCATAAACATGAATTTGCTAATCTGAGCTGTGTCATTATCAATCTACCGCTGGGTAGGTTATTTCGTAGTAACAAACAAGTAACAAACTTTAAATATCTTGGATGTGTTATACCGTCCTTGAACAGAATGATATGCAAAAGAAAATAGATTTATATATTTATTAAAAATTAACTATTTGATTTCGATTTAGTTTTTTTGGGAAATGGAAGACGAATCATAAAGAAATTTATTAACATCTTAACTAATTAAATGCCGTCTTAGCATTTGCAGACATAAAGAGGCTACCTTTACCTCCTTAATTATTAAATAATTTTATTTTTAATTAAAAAAATGTGAACACATTATTTTGAACGATTCAACTTAATCACTCACAAATCTCAATGCGATTAATTCATGTCCCCACCTCTCTGGGGGGGGGGCATGAATTAATCGCATCTTGTATATATTCGTGCGTATCTGAAAGGCGTTCTAAAGTGAGAAACGATTCATTATTTGGGCGGCATTCATTCAATGGCAATACTTTTTCGGCAAGCGATTAAATTCATCGACAATTTTTTTCCCACATTTATCAATAAATGAACCTTCGTCTAATTTTCCTGCCGAGTTCACGCGAACCAGGGTCATTGAAAAGTTCCAGAATCCCGAACCCTTCCGTAGCTCAACTTGCTCTGAAGTGAATATATCATTGGCACTATTGCTTCTTGAGACAGCCTTTCGACAAAATGCACTTTGCAATATATCTTTATAAACAGTTTCTTTGCTAGCCGTTAAATATACAGCAATACACATCGTACTATTGCATGGAGAAGATAAAAAATAATTATTATAGTTCTGTTCATATTCGCCATAAAATTGCTTCTCTCGCTTTTATCAAATGCGCCAGATAATTTGTTTTTACACTAATAACATGTAAGCGAATTAAAATATTGAAACGGGAGTTTTAATGGTTGTTTAGAATAAAAAGGAAAGATAGAATCTTGAAAAAAAATGTCATAGCTGCCGTAAGACAGAAATTGTTATTGCAATGATCCCACGAAAGTACCAATAAACGTTAAATTTTTTTTGTTTTGTTTTTAGAAGAAATCGTAAAGACAATCATTTCGCTCCTGAGCATAGTTTATCGCCTCGAGGCGCTACCGAGGCCGCGATACCACCTCTGCCCTTGGCATTGAGCGTATGAAGCGAAGAATCGAAGCGAGACATTGCAAACCTCTCTGTTTAGTATACTTGTGTGGGGAGAGCGAATGGAATGAGTGCAAAAAATGGAGGTGATTATGAAATGCTAAGTTCTAATAAACAATTAAATATCTCGAGAAAGGAAGTTGATAGCACCGATCGGATTGCGGAATTTTGAATTGCGTTTAAAGGGGATGCCTAGGAAACTATAAAAATTGCAACATTTGCAAATTTGTAAACAATTTCCAACTTTTGTTGATCTAAAGCGGGAGAGTCTCCCGATGTCCAAGCGCCTAAAACCGGGAATTAACAATTTTGCAACAATTTACAATTTTATAAACAAATTCGATATATGAGCTAGAACGACCGGCAAGGATCCGCAAATTGCGCCTGAGATAGACATTTTAATATAACAGTTTGACAGAGTTACAAATTGATTGCTAAAAGTTAGTATAATTGTTGCTAAAATGCTGAATATTTACTGGTCTATTGACAATAATTCTGGACGGAAAACCCAGCCCAGAAATATTTTTTTCGTTATGGCGTACACGCAGGCAAAATCTCTCCTTCGGCAGGGAAAGACGATATTGCCACCTCATACGTAAACAATCGAGGCCCCCGCCCCCGGGAAAAGCGTCTTTCCCGCCCCACGGTAGTTTGCGTCAATTACATACACACTAATATTCTGACTGTACCGTTTGCCCCTCCTGACTGTAACGCGCCCCTCCTCCGGATCGCCCAAGTTTGTCTGGACGATTCGGAAGTCAGAATTTCACCCGCCCCTTTTTGTGGGGGAAGGGGGGGACTTTACAGTGACTCTTCAGTCCGTACACTAGGCAAGAAAATATAAATGGCATAGAAAAAATATTTATTGAAGAATTATGAGGTACAAAATAAATGTACATATTCATGTGAACCTTCTTCACTCATA